TGTATTTCAATTTTAATTCCGAACATCGGGTTATCGATCCAGCTCGTGCAGAAGTATCGAATGATACTTGCACGAACAATCGAGACGATTTAATAATTAACACGGTTCATCACCGATGGTAAGCTAGGTGTTTATTGTCCCTTGCTTAGTCACAAATCTTGCTACGTGTAGGCTAAACTCTTCTACCTATGTTAAGCGTTACTACATTTTTCTCCGAAGGTGTTGGGATTTAAAAATAAATTTAAGAAGAATTCTATGTTCCGAGATGTGAGTTTTGATTTTCGATTTCTGAGTAGTACGACTTAAGTCATTATTTTCCCGTTGTAGGTTATTAACCCTTTGCACTCGGTTGTGGCAATTGTGGCACTAGAATTCCGCTGTATTTATGTCAAAAATTGTTATACCGGTATACCTTTGGAAAAAGACCTAATAAAAGTGAAATGCCACTTGAGTAGTACTATTAAAGCTAACAGGAAAGGTAAAATGACACAGAGTTGCTGGTAAGTCATATTAAAAATTGCTCGGAGTGCAAGGGGTTAATTACTAGGTATCAGTTACCTGTTCTGTCTCTTCTGCTGCGAGTACAAAGTTCTGAGTTCTGAGGAGAGTCCTGTCTTCTCAACACGCAATTTATTCCAAATTATAATACCTCTAAGAATAAACAAATTTACAGATCTACCACTCACGTTTAGATAATATAACGAACGTGTTAAATTCATTAAAATTGTAAGGAGGTACAGATGAGTTCTGATTTTCGATTACTTTGGTGTTGTCTGTTAGTAATTCTTAGGTTTTAGTTACCTGTCCTGTGTCTTCTGCTGTGAGTACTAAGTTCTGAGTTCTGAGCAGAGTCCTGTCTTCTCAACACGCAATTTATTCCAAATTATAATACCTCTAAGAATAAACAAACTTACAGATCTACCACCCATGTTTAGATAATATAACGAACGTGTTAAAATCATTAAAACTGTAAAGAAGTACAGATGAGGCCTGATTTTTGATTTCTGAGTACTGAGACTCTAGTCATTACTTTGATGTTGTCTGTTATTAATTCTTAGGTATCAGTTACCTGTCCTGTGTCTTCTGCTGTGAGTACTAAGTTCTGAGCTCAGTTCTGCCACACAGTTTATTCTCAAATTATAATACACCTAAGAATAAATAAATCTATAAATCTATCACCGACCGTTTTAGATAAGGTAACGGAGGAGTTAAAATAATTAAAACTGTAATTTTTACAAAAATAAATACGACGAAATATGTTCCTATTAGCAGAAAACCCGATGTTAGAAAAATTTACGTATCATCATTGAGTTTCTCGAATCTCGACGTGTCTTTCAGTGGAGTCACCCTTAGCATGGGTTCTCCTCGGGTCATCTTCGTGGTTACGGTCGCGAGACAGCACGCACACGACCGTTTATCGACCCCATAGTTGCACCGTTAATTACCGTCCAACAAACTTTCCGCGAACTCGAGGAAGAAGGGAAATAAAACGCAGCGACGAGCCCGGGATCGCGAGGGGCGCACGTGGCAAAGACTCGCTGCGTCTTGCTGAATAACAAAGAGTCGGTGCAGGGCGAGAGATCGGAGCGTGGCTCCGTTTGTTCGTGGGTGCAACAAGTCGGATTAACAGCTGTTTCTGCTGGCGTGCACAGTTCTACGTGCACGATGCCATGGTGGCTCGACTTGGCCGTGGTCCAACTCCGTTTTACCCAACTTGGCCATTGTGCCCGCGAATGCCGCCGCGCCAGATAAGAAACACCACGCGAGAATATCCACCGACTGTTTAGATCGGCGTCGAGCAACTTTAAACACGCGCTGTGCAAACACCCTAGTCTCTACAGCCTAGACGATTCGCTTCGGTATTACGGGGGAGCTTGCAGAAGCTAGCAGAGAATCATCTTCGTCCGTTTTGAGTTTACGTGTTTTTGGATCCCGAGTCAGAGACGTCGAGAGGGTGGAAACTCGCGGAGAGGAATGTTCCGCGTCCTTTAATGGGAATCATAGACGATATCGTTAGACCGCGAATGGAAAAGCACGCGATCGGATTTGAAGGCTGACTGCGTGCGTAATGATCGGTGGACGATCAGATTGCAACGGAACGCGCGATCAATGAACGGGCTGCGAAGTCGAGTTACAATCGCGGACGGATCTCCGCGATAAGGGGTGTATCGAAAATGCGTGGTCAGTTTTGACGAGCACGCTCGAACCAGCAAAAGGGACGCGAGGACACCGCTCGATGAAAAGTTGCTAGCCATCGAATAATCGAGACCAGCGGTCTGCTCATAGGAGATATCTAATTTACCACGAAGCATTCGGTAAACGGATACTCGGCTGGACGAAGACTGTAATTTGCTCTAAGTAGGTCGAAGAACCTTCGTAACGTTGTCCAGTACCGTCCCGTGGAAGGAGCGTGGTCGGATTAAAATTGATCGTCTCGGTGTCGCGTAAATGAACCGGCAGGGCTGATGTATTTCGAAACATCCCATTCGCACAAGCGTCGAAATTGTTCTTTACGCAGCGCTACATGCCCACGGGAGAACAGGGGAAAAGCAACGAGGCGAGTCGTAGAAACACCGTGGAAACGTGAATATTTCGGAGGGTAGAGAACCACCGAGCATCGAGGGAAGCCGGAAACGAGGAACGAAAACGTGCACACACGGTGCGATGCTTACCTCAGGAACGTAGACAGAGCTTTGTGAGGTGAAAAACTTCGGACCGAGGTTTGAGACATGCACAGCGGTTGCTGTTAAGGACCCGTTCAGGTCCTCGTTGCGTTCACTCTGCTTTTCCTCTCGATCCTGTGTCCTTGGCCCCAGAGTACCTCACCGGATACCGTGCGAATCACTTCTCTAAACACCCGCGAGACGAGGCGACATAGACGAACCAGCGAGAATTCTTCGTTTGCCCCCCGATCTCCGGTCAGAAGAGGCTGCGATCACTGCGTTCCAAGAGACGCTGTCGACCTTCCGACACGGTCGCACCTGCGACGTTCTCTTTGCTGTCGTTCCCGCGGAGCACACGTCGTTCTCTCATTGATCTTGCGACATCAGCCACGCGATTATCCGCACGAGGCTGTGACCGGGACAAATCACCGAGTAGCAGAGAAGCGACGCCGGTGCGAAGCGCTGACTGAACCACTGGCAAACCACCGAGGGGTGGTCCGTATCGTGCGGAGGTCCCTCTACTCTCTCTGCCGCTTTCCTTCCTCTCTCTCCCCACCCCTATTCGCCACGTCTCTCCCACCCATTCTATCGCCCCTTCCACTCTATTTCCCTCAGAATTTCTGTTTTACTCCTTCATCCCTTTTTTACTCCCCTTCGTTTTCTATTCCCTGGTTTCCTACCCTTCTTTCACTGCCCCCCGGCCACCTCACCCCGATGCATACTTTCGTCTCTTCGGTTTTCCTTTCGCTCCAACCACGTCTCCTTCCCCTTTCCACGCTTTTCGAGGAGTAATCCCTTTCCAGCTCTGTCCTCCTCTCTGTCTAGCTTTCCCACCGGCTACCTTTCCTCCTTCCTGTTGCTCCTACTCCCTCCTGTCCCCGCCCGTCACCCTAACCGTCTAACTAGCTCTCTCCGTTACTCTCGGCTCTACCGGTCTACCCCGATCACCGCCCTTCGAGTCGTCCTATCGCCGTTCCCACTTACGTCCACGCTAAACCGTCGGCGTAACGGCGTGCACACATGTTACAGGAGGAAACACAGGTCGTCTTGATCCTGCGATCCTGCGCGCTGTCATCAGGTGCAGCATCAGCTCTCTTGCTACACGGCAGGTTCAGAGCAGACTGGTGCATACTTGATAAGAGCGAATACCGTTTCGCGCTTTTTCTGCTTTTCATCGCGCATAGGTACACTCCTGTCTGAATTCAATCGTATGGATATGAACGTATACGCGTAGAAATAAACCACTACGTATTGTTCGTTTTTCATTTCCCCTTCTCGTTTTTTGATACTCTTACCATCGGTGTAAGTGTCAATTTGTTATTAAATGCTACGACTTAGGACGAATTTTTGTATTATCGAATGTCAGTTTGGATTATATTGAATAGTCGAATTTCAAGGTAACCTAATGTTTCGTTTCATCGATTATTCACTGTAATCGTTGATTTTCCCAACTGCAATGTTTTTATGGAAAAATGATATTCCTAATCATTGGACCGACAAATGTCATTGTTCCCTGAATTATGTTTATCGTCCCAACGCCACATATACTTTGTTTTCAAATTTGTGAATTAAAAACGTCAAGAGTTTTGTTGAAAAAAATTTTGATTAATACTTATTCTTGCCTGCTTAATTTCCCATCTCTTTCTTTTTTGTTGGAATGTTTGTTGTCTGAACTTTGACATGCTTCCCTTGAGTGTAATACGTCGGCTAGATGATACATGTATATATCTTCATGTGGAAAGACCTTTAAGTTTAATATGACACACAGACATAAGTAGTTTACCAAAACGTCGTCCCATCTATTTGATGTAAGCAAATGAGACAATTATAAACCTTTAATCTGTTCAATTTTCAATAACAAGCATGTTGTACCTTTTGATTACTTATGCATCGTTGCTTGATTGAAATTCATGAAATCATGCTCTGCTGATTGTTAGCATTTAAGAATATCTGACAAAAAGGAAACAAATGTTTTCTGTTTCTATTCTCTAAACTTAACTTCTGTTTTTATTATATTTATGCTTAATTATTTGTACAAATATGATGTACAAACAAGGTGGTAAATGTATAATTTGAAACATAAGTAAATTGTTGGTGTTTATAAGAGATATTTGATTTTTAATAATAAATTCATATATACAATTTGTAACCTTTGTTCTTTACAATAGATCGATGCATTTGTGAAACTTTTTCATGCTATAAACTGTAACGATTTAGGTTTTGTAACTATTTTCATTGATTTAAATTACATTCGTTACAGGAATACAAAATAATATTCATAAAGTCCATTAATAACATTGATAGAATAATTTTTAATTTTAAATTTATTTATAGGGCCATACAAATTATGCAATACATGGTTACGCGTTAATAAAATCTATCTGACTTCCATACCTTTCCATGTTCTAACAACATGTTTCGAATAAGATTGTAAAACAACGCGTACGAGGTTCTTATTCATTAACAAGTATTTATTTACTACACACTTTAACTCGCAAATAAAATTATAACCTGTACAGTATCTCATTTTTCTTTAAATGCAAGCAATTGTCTTTTCTGATAGTTTTCGCTCGTGGATCATCGGGTCTAAAAACTGAAATTTAACAAATATTAGACATATGTATTCATCGATACTTTTACTAATACTTTTGGATCTGAATGTTTATGTAATAATATAATACGATTGAAGTATTACAAAGCTACATTTGTATACTTACTGACTATTTTATCATAATATTTTGGTATTTTTGGGATAGGTTTTGTGGTTACCAGATATGCAAAAACCCCACATAAAATCGTATTTATTGTTAGACCAGAAACTGAAACGAATGTCACTACTGGATGTTCGGTTGTACAGATTGTCCATAGCGACTTAATTTTTTCAACTGCAACATTATTTAAATTGTATTATATACTTTCGACATGGTAATTATGTAACATACAGAATGGTTTATCATATAAGCGTTTCACATGTTTTAGGAGTTCCACTCTTCGTATAATCTTCACCATTGTTGCCGATTTACGTAATTAATCGTCAACAGATTCACCATCAATAAATTCACCATTCGCAGATACACGAGGAACTATTGCGCATGTTATATATCTATAACGCGGTTCATTCAAATCTGTTTTTAAGAAATTTATAAAGAAGTAAATTTCCTATATTCTTAATCGATCTAATACTATCCAAAATATGCTTCCTTAATAATTATTTATGTTCATCTCCTAATTCTATTAATCGAAGTTGAATGAATATTATTTTATGGAAAAGAAATATTAAAATACATTTCGGATAACCTTATCAAATATTTTAAATATATGTCTATATCGTTTCATATTTTGTATATAGTTATTATTCCTTTCTTTATATAAAATAAATTTGTCTCACTAGAAAATAAAATATTTGTACAGACAGTGGAAATATAATTTTGATCGAACATTCATAAGTATATTTCAGTTGTATCGCTCTGCCATCTTTTGACTGGCGTGGTAAGCAAGAGCTAAATGGTAGTTATGGCTGCCATCGCGAGGCCTTTAATTAGTGACAAGTGATTCGGAGGGGTGGTTTTCATATTCAGTGTTATAGAAATCGAGTATAATTTGTTGGAATTCATAACATAGGCCCTTACGGGCCTCGAGAATCAGGTGAGTGTAAAAATCTTACTAAATTAAAATCTCTGTATCGAAATATTCAACGCTTTGGGTGGTTATTGCATACCCTTGTTCCCACGCATGACTTTTTTGCATTTACCTTTTAAAATAATTTTATGATTTTATTAAATGTCATACGTATATGTATTTTTCTTTGATTCGATATTCGTGGGTATGAGTGGTCATAATTTGTCAATCATAAATAGGTGTATCGAAAATATCCGGAACAAGTAATCGTTTCAATTATGTCATTCGGACTTTCTTTTAATAACGAAACTAGAACATTTTCAGTCGTATATAGGTTACGTTATTTCCCATAGAAATTATACGTGAATATGGCAGATACGTTTCTTGTTGTAATTTTTAATAAATGTTTACTCTATTTTGGGGTTAAGTTGGACCTCCCGCATTGATGAACGTTGCTTCGAGGCATCGATAAGGTTTGATACTCTCATGGTTGCTGTAGCCGCTGTCAGATGCCTCCACGTGTAGCTATTCGGAAAGATATTTCTAGTTTTCAATGTTAGTGCACAGGTGCTCTTCAAGAAAATCGACAAATTTTTTCGGTATATATTTTGCAAATTATTTTCGCTAGAAAAGATCGTACATGCCACATCGTTGTATTTCTAATTTTTATTAAATTATAACAAAGATAAAATCGTGCAATTGTTACGAAAAATGCTAGCTTTACCTTTAATATTCGCGTATCTTTTATCGCGTTGTTTGTTTCCAATTGCATTTTACGCGTGTTCATTTAAATTGCTAAACATTTCGTTTAATTGTATTCATGTAATATAATTTTTCTGCGTCGTGCATTATTTTATAACTCGCTCTATCGTGTTTAAATTTCTAAATTTCTTATAACCTCAAAAATAAATTCGACAGATTTCGAGTGTTTAGTTGGTCGTTCTTAGTGTCTCATTTTTCTGTCTTACGTAACTAACAATTATACACCGTATATTGCTCTTACGTCGATAGAAACGTTTCGTTTCGATTTTTATTCGCTTACTCTAAAATTTGCGTGTTCGAGACGCCTCGCCATCTGCACATGCGCAATGCGATATTTTCGTTTCGCACTATTGGTGCCAGCCATCGTTATTATTTATGAAATACTTTGTCTTGGCTAGTGTAGCGACACCGTTAAGAGCGCCGTACGGATCAGAAACGGCGAATCGACGAAAGCGTCTTTCGTATCGCGCGACACGCTTATCGGACGACGATTATCGACACTCGCGTGAAACGCATAAAGACGTTTGGCTAGAAAAAGAAGCGGAAGCGAATGAAACAAAAAGGGTGTATCACGATGAATAGTCTATCGCTTAATCGGCGAGTTTTTTCCGATGGTTCGATGCGAATAGCCCGGTGAAAGGAAGGAAGAAGAATCGACGATGATCGATTCGCTGGATTCGACTGGAGCCAGCTGGGCGGAGGGAAGGGGAGTTTCGCGATAATTACAACCGCGTTTCTTGCCCGGTGCTCGTGCTCGTCGAATTCAGACTCGTGATCCGACCAGCGTGGCTCGCTTTCCGAGTTAGTCTGCGCCACGGAATTTCGGTATTCCCCGGGAAAAAGCACGTAGCTGCGTCCACCCAGCTGGTACAAAAACCCACGCTCTTGAACCTGGCGACACGTGCTCCAACAGGACCACACACGTGGCTCCTGGCTTTCCACTCTTTCTCCCTTTATGTCTTCCTTATTTCGCCGGATTTTTGTACGCTTCTGATCGCGCCTCCCTCCCTTCGCGGAACCGGCATCGGCGATTGGAATGGACGATCGGGAATCGGCATTGTACCACCGCTCGCGTTCGTCTGGCGTTCAGCGGTCCGCGATATTTGCGAGTTCCTCGCGTTAGTGGAACCCGTGCGATCGATTTGTATTCCGTGGGAGCGGTATAGAGCGGTCGATGATCGCGTCGTGCATTCGAAGCGGCGATATATAACTCGATGTGCCACCACGCGTTACCTGTTGCTCCTCGGCTAGACTAGTAATTTCCGAACGGCTTAATCGCGTTTCTCCTCTGTTAGAGTTTACGAATTAGAGTTGTTTAAGAGCCGTATACGTAACGGTATACCCGTTATCGGCTTTGTACAGCATATTTTATCGACCCGTTATTCCTTATCGCGTACACGCGTACGTCTGACGCAATATTAGCTTATATTAACGTTAGCTCGTATTATCTTGCGAAAGGTAACCGTTTCGAGGAATGGCAAGATCCCCGCGCAGTTTTTCGCTTGAAAATTTTATCCATCTCGCCACTATCTGCCATCTCTAAAACTGCAACTTGCACCGAAGATCCTCGGGCAGATACGTCTTGGGACTATCGTACACGGGTTCGCGCGTCGAGCCGATATTTATTCATGGCTCTGGTCACGCGGTCACGTTCGCACCTGCACGAACACCTCCACGATAAAATCTACTCCTGTTGCTGGCCATTCGATTTCCCGATTCACCTTGCCGCTTCTTACACTCAGTCGTTTTCCTTCCGCCAAATTCCAAGTTCAGGTGGCTCTCCAGGTATCGAGGTCGAACAAATTTTCCAGCTGTGAGAAATTCGTTGAATTTCCGTTTTTATTAAAAATCGTTCCAAAATCGATTTGAGGTGTGAAAAATTGTGGGAAGATCTTACATGAGAGTAGAAATATAGAGATTCGTAATTCTGTTAAAAAATTCTCGATTTACGTAATAATAGCGATAAAGAAAATTCGTAAACTCGGGTTTATTTATTTTTTAACACACGCACCGAAAATGGTGTCGACGAGTGAAAAATTGGGAAGTGATATTTTTTGGGTACCTTTCACGACTAGCATCGATCCCGGTATCTCAAATATCAAGCTCCCATAATAAATTTTCAGTTTATAAAAATTTTCGTGTCATAAATAAATCTCGTAGATTCAGGTTCACTATTTTTTTCCCCAAAAATTGTCAAATTGTAATTATCAACTTGTGAAAAATTAGGAAACGATATTCTGTGGGTACCTTCGATAATTAGTATAGATCCCGGTACCTTCAGGTATCAAATTCCGGCAAAGAATTCTCGATCTTTTAAAAATTCGTAAACTAGTTTCCACTGATATTTTTGAAAAAAGATGCCATTTTTGCGTGAAAAATCGTGGAACGATATTCTTCGGGTGCCTCTCGCGAGAATAGAATCGTATGCGCCTGTGACTTCGCAGCGTGCGCCAGATGTCGCTCAGATCTTTCCGGAAGATGAAGTGGAAGTTGGAAAAACAAGTAGACCATCTGTCGCCGTTTCGAAACTATCGCCGCGAAATTATACAATGTAATCGAGCGAGTGACGTGTGCGGCGTGTAAGCTCTCGGCCTAACTCTTTGTTTAATTAATCCGGATTCGCGGTGGAACAAGGCGAGCCCGAGACGGACAAATGGTCGTGGTTTCGGTGGCTTGGCAACCGGCACTGACATACCGGAGAAAATGACGCTGACCCGCGATCTAACTCGCTGAATTGTTTCTAAAACAGCGAAGTGGTGCTAATGAGTGCAGAGTAATATTTAGGTCCAACTGATCGATGATGACCCGTGCAAATTAGAGTGTAAGAGGGTTTTATTCTTTTGGTTAACTGTCGTAGTGACAAATCTCGTTGGTCCTGTTTATTATTTTGCACGTCGTAATTGCGACTAGAAATTGCGCGTTGTTCGTTTCATTTATAATAAATGAAAGGAAAGATCTTTTCTTTTTCTTTTTCCATCGCGTAGATTTTCTTCCGGAGTAATATTAATTTTTATTTTTTTATTTTTTTTTTTTAAGGGAAACGAGGAACGACTGCACCGAGCTTTAGGTTAAGGTAAAAATTCAGAACCTTCTTAAATTTATTGACTTTTAGGTTAAGGAAAAAATTTGGTGCCTCTTTGAATTTATTGAATTTTAAATTAAGGAAAAAATTCGGTGCCTCCTCGAATTTACTAAATTTTAGGTTAAAGAAAAATTTGGTGCCTCTTTGAATTTATTGAATTTTAAATTAAGGAAAAAATTCGGTGCCTCCTCGAATTTACTAAATTTTAGGTTAAAGAAAAATTTGATATCTTCTTGAATTTATTGAATTTTAAAGTAAGGAAAAAATTCGGTGCCTCTTCGAATTTATTGAATTTTAGGTTAGAGAAAAAATTCGGTGCCTCCTTGAATTTACTAAATTTTAGGTTAAAGAAAAATTTGGTACCTTCTTTAATTTATTGAATTTTAAATGAAGGAAAAAATTTGGTGCCTCTTTGAATTTATTGAATTTTAAATTAAGGAAAAAATTCGGTGCCTCCTCGAATTTACTAAATTTTAGGTTAAAGAAAAATTTGGTACCTTCTTGAATTTATTGAATTTTAAAGTAAGGAAAAAATTTGGTGCCCCTTCGAATTTATTGAATTTTAAATTAAGGAAAAAATTCGGTGCCTCCTCGAATTTACTAAATTTTAGATTAA